CCCGGGTGCCGGCGGCTCTTCAGGGTCTTCAAGGGGGGGAAGGGGGGGGGGGGAACGCGAGCCGGGAGGAGCCCCCGCACGGGGCGTCCCCCTCCCTGCTGGCCCCTGGGGCTGCATCACCCCTGGGCTTTGCAATGGGGATGGTGGGACAAGGGCAGGCAGGTGGAGGACAGGTCATGGGGCACCTCCCGGGGTGTCCTGTCTTGGGGGTCCCCCATCCAGGCTCACGGCTGCTCCTCCCAGGTGCCCGTGGAGCTGGTGCTGCTGCTCACCGTTCCCGTCGTGGACCCTGATAAGGATGACCTGAATTGGAAGAGACCCCTCAACTGCTTGCATGTCCTCACCAGCCCCCTGCTCTGCATCCTCACCCTGAAGTCAGGCGCCTGTAAGAGCCCTGGCAGCCCTGGACACCCAGGAGGGGATGGGACCGAGATGGTCCCTGGGGACCGCAGAAGCCCTTTGGAGCTGGCACCCCATTTGGGGAGGGGAGGATGGGCCAGCGAAGAGCCAAGGTGGGAGGCCTGGTCTGCAGCTAGATGGCTCTGTCCTCCCCCCAGGGGTGGGGGTTTGGGCCCCCCGGCATCCAGGTCCTCGGGGAAAAATGGGGCAGGCCTGGCCTGCCTGGGGAAACTGAGGCACAGAGGGGAGCAGCCCTGTGAAGGCTTAGGGTAGAAGTGGCTTCAGGGGACAAGGCTTTACCTCATACCACGAGCCTGGTCATATGGTTGCCCCAGCCCATGTGGTGCCTGCAGGGCCGCTCTGATGCCCCCTCTCTCCACCACATGCAGATGGGCTGTACCAGATCCAGGGCATCTTCCCAGTCTGGGGACTGGTCATACTGGTTGGCTCTTTCCTGGCCATCATCATCTTCATCACCACAAGCAATGAGGAGCCGCCCAAGTACCACTGCGTAAGGTGTCCCCCAGCCCTGAATGCCCACTGGGGAGCAAGCCCAGCCTGCTGTGGACTGGGCTGAGGGTCCTGGGGGCAGAGCAGGAGCCAGGACCTCCTTCCTGGTCCCCAGTGTCCCCAGGAGGGACACGGCTGGCTGGAGGTGTGCAGGGTCCTGCGGGATGCACCCAGGGACCAGCTTACCCCTCTGCCTGGCAGGTATTTGCCTTCCTCGGGTTTTTGGCCAGTGCCATGTGGATCAACGCCGCGGCCACGGAGCTGGTGAACATCCTCCGGACCCTGGGCATCATCTTCCAGCTGAGCAACACCGTGCTGGGCTTGACGCTGCTGGCGTGGGGCAACAGCATCGGCGGTAAGGGCTCTGCTGCGCCCCAGTGCCACCCCAGGTGCACCCGCCCTCCTGGCATCCCCCAAGGTCTCCCCTTCTCCTTCTGCAGACACCTTCTCTGACCTCACCATGGCACGGCAGGGCTATCCCCGCATGGCCTTCTCTGCCTGCTTCGGGGGCATCATCTTCAGTATCCTTTGGGTGCCGGGCGGGAGGTGGTGGTGGTGCTTGGGGCAGGGGCTGCCTCAGGTTCCCTGCCTGCAGCCCAGGGAGAGCCCCTGCTCCTGGGGGACCCTTGGGAAGGAGCTAGGCAGGACCCATCCCAGAGTCTCTGGGATGTTGGCAACCTCCCCGGTGCCCGCACAGAGCGGGGGGACTGGCGTGGTATTCGTGAACTGCAGGAGCTGCAGGGATGGAGCCAGCAGCATCCCCCCGTCCCCACTGCTGTCCCAGCCCCAGCAGGGTGGGGATTTGGGCTGGAGTCTGGCAGATTTGGGATCTGCCAAAGGGAAGGAGAGGAAGAGGCTGTGCCACCCTCCGGGAGGCTTTGTGTGGTTCCCAGACTGGGCTGAAACCTCTCCTCCTCGAGTGCTCCAGGCTGTATTCGCCACAAACAGGCAACACTTTGGGCTAGGCGACGGCCACGGGGTGCAGGCAGGGAGGAGGAGGGCCCGTGCTGTCCCCCTCCCCGGGGCGGGAGGGACGTGGCTGGCTCCGTCGCTCCCCCGAGGTCCCCTGCGCCGCGTCTCCGTCCTGAACGTGCCCCAGACATCCTGGTCGGCGTGGGACTCGGCTGCTGCAGATGACCAGCAGCCGGCTGGTGGTGAAGGTAAGGCTGCAGCGACACGGTGGCACGGGTCAGGCTGGCAGCAGGACCCCGGTGTCACTCCACATCACTCCCCGTCTCTCCGACAGCTGGAGCCCGACAGCCTCCTGGTCTGGATCCTCGCCGGGGCCCTGGGGCTGAGCTTGGTCTTCTCCTTTGTGTCGGTGCCAGCGCAGTGCTTCCAGCTGGGCAAGGCGTACGGCGTCTGCCTCATCCTCTACTACCTGGCCTTCCTCTGCGTGGCCCTGCTGACCGAGTTCAGGGTGATCCATCTCTCCGCCATCTGACCGGCCCCACCGCTGGCAGGAGATGCACATCCATCCCTGGCGCTCGCTCTGCCTCGCCGCCGGACTGGGGCCCTGCTGTCCCCTCTCCCTGTCCCTGCCAGGGGGACAAGGGCACCTCGACCCCAACTGTGCTGCTGCCACCACGTGCTGGAGGCATCATGTGCCAGCCCAGCCCTCAGCCTTCGCTTTCGGGGAGGGGAGGTGTGTTTATGCTTTTGGAAAGGAAAAGGAGCTGTTAGCCATTAGCTACGTCCTCTCCCCGCTCTGTTTAATCTTGTTTAACTCACAGTGGCTCTGAGCAAGAGTGAGGTTAAGACCTCGGCTTCCCCGGGTGGCAGGCGCAGAGGAGAGGGCAGCTCCAGCCCAGGGTCACAGCAGGAGAGGTTTTACCTCTTCAATCACTTCACTTTCCCCTCGCCATCTCCATCCTGGCTGCTCTGGGACAGGGCTAGGGCAGTCACGCTACACGGGGTAACTCTGAGAAGGTCTGAGCACAAGTTTGCCCTTGCAAAGGACATGACGTGTTCATACTGCGGCTTTGCAATAGCAGCCGAGGCAAAGTGAGATGGGGTTAAGGTGAGACAAAGCTCCAGGGCAGTGCTTGGTTTTAACACAGGCAAAGCTGGAGGAAAAAAAAACCAACAAACCAACAAGGGAGGCTGGTTTCCCCTGCTTTTTTAAGCTATGTTTTTCAACCTGGGTTTCAAAATCCTACTTTTCTCCTCCTCCTAGGGTGGGCAGAGCTGTAGGAAAGGACATGGAGGTTTCCACACACAGCATTAGCCTCTGGCAAGTCTGTGTTTAGGCACTATAAAAAAAAAAATTGCAATAAAAAACCCAAACCCGACCTCGACTTGCGTTGTTTGCTGCCAGGGTGTTTTCTCCTGCTCTGTGCTAGCGTAACAGCCCGGTGCCTTTCGGGGGCAGAGGGAACACCCATAGCTCCTCCGGAGCTGAGCCAGCAGCAGCAGCAGCAGAGGGGCCTGGGGGGCTGACACCCTTGGCCGTGCAGGGCGGTTTTCCCCAGCAGCTTGGGGAAGTGGTTTCCTCCGGGTTCACTGGCAGTTGATTTTTCAACAGCAGTCACATGCGCCTGACTCGGCCGTTTAGTTGCACGGCTGGGAACTGCAGCGTCCCGGCACGGGGTCAGCACGGGCTGCGAGGGGCATTACGCAGCTTCCCCTGGGACGAGGACACCGGCGGGGCCCCAGGGCCGCGGGGGTGTCGGAGCGGGTGGGCCGGTGCTTCTGCTCCGTGTCGGAGGATCCGCAGGGTGCAGGCTAGAAAGCAAACTGCCATTACGGACGGACAACCACATTTCTGCTCCGCGGGGAGAGAGGGGCTGTTTTGCAAGAAGCACAACTGCCGGACCTGGTTCCTGCTCCCTTCTAGGAGTGCTAGCAGCCTCCTGGGCCTGCATCATTTCTCCTTTTTCTAACCAGACGCGGGCTTTCACAATAACGCTGCCTGTGCCTGCAGCTATTGGCTCTGCCCTGAACCTGCTCACAAGTTACCAGCAGCTGCTGGAATTATCCGGGGAGACAAGCTCCACTTCCTTACACACAGCAGGGCTAAAGCAATCGAAACCGCGGCCAACGTACCAATACAGAGGTACAGGGTCAAAAAACCCCTTCTAACCTTAAACATTGCATTGGGGTAGCTTTAAAAAACCTAAGTTTGAAAGCATTAACGTTTAGGGAAAAAAAACTGGCAGGGAGGAGGGCAGAAGGGAAGCTGGGCTTTGCGGTGTCCAGGAACAAGAAGTCAGAGCAGCTCGGCAGGGCACGCATGCAAAATATGCTCACGCAAGCAGTTGCCACCGGAGAGGGAGGGCAGGCACTGCTCCTCTTCAAACACGGTGGAAATGCTTCAGCTGCAGCCAAGCCCCGCTTCTGGAATAACACGGAAGGAGGAAAGGAAGCCGCTGCCTTTACAAAGCCGAGGATGCTTTTTATTAGTGTGCTTGAAAAAATCTAGAGAACATTTTACAGACATGTCCATAAAATCATTTTATAAACAAAACGCCAGCATACAAAATCCTGCAGTGCTTCCTCCCTTGCTCCCTACAAAATGATTGTCTCTGTCGTTAGTCTGTGTGTCAGGTGGGGGAGAGGAGGACGAATTGAAGGGGATGCCCCGTACTCAAACTTTGTTTCCTTCCAAATTCAAATGGAAGAAGTAAACTTCTGCGACCCTCCTTGGTTTACAAAAATAATTAATACAGTGTGCACCCGGGGGCAGATCAACACCTCAGCACGAAACCACGGAAGCAGCACCTGAGCCCTGAACCCCAGTCCAAGCATTCCCATCTCTGTGACACAAGAGCCCTGTTATTGCATGTTAAGCAGATTATTTCCCCCCCCAACATAGCTTAAAGCTGCAGCTTCTTTCACACCCAGAAAACACCCCCAAAAAAGTCACTGACAGCCCTGCAAGGAGAAATAGGCTGTAGGGGAATGCGGAGTTTAAACACTTCCCCCCCCCCCAGCCTTCACAATGCTCATTCATCCTGCCCACAGCTTAAAACAGAATAAACAACATCTCCTCCAGCCCCAGGACTAATCTGGATAAATCTCCCAGGCTGTGATGCCATGCAGAGCAACTGCAAGAGCAACAACTGCACTGCTCATTAATTTGTGGTCAAATTTATGGTTTGGAAAACAGCCCTTTAAGGTCCTTCACGGTTCAGCTCAAAAGTAGTTTCATACCTGCGATACCCAGAAAGGAAACAAAGAGTTGCCCTGAGGCACCCAGGGAATTTGGCAAGGGTTGAGAGCAGACGCTGGCGTGCGTGCTGCCCGGAAAGCTGCTCACCCGCTCCTTCCATCCCATAGCCCAAACCCTCCCACCATGCTACGCAGGGAGACATTTTCAGAAGCAGCTCTGTCTTGCCTACTTTTGAAAGTCTCATCCACCCAGGAAATGCTCCTGAGCTGCCCGGGTAGGATCAGTCCTCTCCCGCTGTCCTTGTGCCACGTGGTGAGGCTACCAAGGAAAAAAAAAAGGTACGTGGGACAAAGGGAATGGGCACACAGATCTCCCGCTGCCTGATCTATCTGGAGGAAGGAGGAAGCCTCCCCAGCAAACTCCACTGTTAGTCTGAACCTGAGAAAAGATCAAACAGCAAGAGGTGAGGGGAGCCTCCCCACTGACAGATACTCCTAGCCCTCAGCACTTTCTGTGCTGACAGGGAAGAAAAGAGGACTTACAGAGACAGGTTCTCATCATGTTGCGGGCAATGAAACACGAGCGATGATGCAACCTGCCATGATCACAGAATAAACGTGGCAGAGCTGGGAAGGGATTCCTTTTCCCCTCTTCCTTCCCATCCCTCAGCTACCAGGTCTGGCAGCCTCCTTGCCAGCTGCAGAAAAGCACACGGGTGAGAAGAATCGTTGTCTTCCACGTTCCTTCTGCATCCAAAATTCAGGGGAACAGTAAAGCTCTTCAGTGGACCTTCCTAAGATCCGACTCAGTCAGCATTTGCCAGCCTGAGGAACATTTCTGCAAAGGTGAGAGCAAGGGAGGAGCAACGCTGCTGCGCTGGGACTCGCTCACCTGTATAAACAAAGCAATGACCTGGCTGAGGACTAACCGGCAGTACTGTTTGATGCCCATAAGCTCTCCTTAACCCAGAGCCAGGCAGAAATAAGTCAGACTCGGAGTTGCAAAACCTTCCATTTCTTCCTCCTAGTCATCTATCTGAGCTAAGAACCAGCCATAGATTTGCCATTTACAGAGCAGGTGGCCAAGTGGCAGAGGTCAACAGCCACTGTCACCCTGCAGAATCCCCCCCCCTCACTGAACAGAGACAGGAGGTTTGGGGTTTACAGAGGCGATCCCAATCCTGGGCAGTGCCACCGGCAGAACTGACCAGCAGCGATGCAGATACTGGATAGCTACAGCAGAGGCAGAGTTTGTCTCCCCAAACTCCTGTCCCACCTGTGGTCATAACACGATGAGATGCTGGCCCTCAGTTCTGTCTCCAGCTGCTACGGAACCACTCAGGGACAGCTAAATTCAATAAATCAGAGCTGGATCTGCTACAGGGAGTGCATCTAGGTGTGCCAAAAAGGAGGGGAAAGGCAGACTGCTCTTCCAAAAGTGCTGAAATTTCACACCACCTCCCCTTTCTTTGCATAAGGAAGGTAGAGAAGAAACAAAAACTCACTCCCTGATCTTTTATTCCTAGGTTAATGGTACCCTTTAAGCAGAAGAGATCTTCAAAAAGGGCAAAAGTTTTAATATTAAGCAGGTGGCTTCAGCGCATTGCCTGCTGTTAATGGATTACACATCCCTTTCCCCAAGGTCTGTTAGTGGTAAGACAAACAGCAGGCTCCGGCCTGGGAAGCGGCTCAGAGGGAGAAGGTCTCTGTTCTGTCCGAGATGTTCGCTCTGTGCTGAGCATGGGCATCATGCTCAATCTGGGTGTAGCAGCCTTACACAGAGTCCCCTGGGCCTCTGGTTTTTCAGCAATTCACTGCCTAGGGGAAGAGATTTAAACCCTAAAGCCGAACAGTACACTGAACAGATCTATATACATCATCCCAATATATACGCTGTGAAGTAATACTCTAGGTTATTGCATAGAAGGCGGCTTGCGTTAGCTAGGCCTAAATGACAGTCTGGGAGCGTTGTCGGAGGCTCAGGGGCTTCAGAGAGCTGTTGGAAGCAGGTGTAGGCTCTTGCAATGGTGTCTGAGATTCCTCTTTTCTGGAATGCTCCTCATACCATTCCTGCAACCGGAGATCAAACACACCGAGATCAGGCTCTGCCCCACACTGGCCTCGCAGCCCCCCAGCAGGACCCCGAAGGGCAGAGCATTCGGCTGCTCTGCCATGTGAGGGCACATTTGCTCAGGCACAGAGAGGCTCTTTCCAAAGCCCTGGGTATAGCCTAACCTCCTGGCACAACCTGGTTAACTGCTGCATGGCTGTGACGGACACACCGAGGCCTTGCCACCCACAGTCCAAGCAAGAAGTACTACCTGTGGCTCAGCTACAGCTGGCTGAACTGACAAACCCGGGCAAGGAAACATTCCTCTCTCAGCATGTCCCTCCTGAACGTCTAGGACTCT